CCCCCCGCGACCCTGAAAAGGATAAGCGGAAGCGAATGGAATGGACATTACTAACCATACTGCTTCCACACTAATGTCATTTTCTAGCTTTAAAGTGCTGATTAATAACACTAAAGTTTAAAAGCATTCTTAAAACTAATGTAGCTTTAAACTCAGTATAGTTCAACTCACGAGTCTTACAGTAATACAGCTGTTGAACAGTTTGAGCAGCACTGTCTCAGTGAAATCATAATTTAAGTAAATTTAGGAGGATATAATTTTCCAGCTTCTAAAAACACGTTTTAGAATCGTTTTACTGTTTCCAATAGATCCATTGAGCTCATATAACCTCCACTACAATGGTGATTAAGCATTATTTAAAATCTATTATTATTATTGTTATTATTGTTATATTCTATCTATTCATTATTTAAAATCTACTTGGTTCCATAGATACAAAAGGTTTTTTTTAGTCAAGAGGAGCATTTTTTTTTTAAATGATGCAGAAGCTGTGCGTCCACACACATTGGTGCTTTTAATTTTTGACCAAACGAAACTTGTATTTGTATTTTTCTTTCAAAGCGTGGTGTTTTGAGGAGTTACAGGAGGTGACATGGTGGACTACTATAGCATCTTGGGAGTGTCCAAAACAGCCACTCAGGATGACATCAAGAAAGCGTAAGTATCCTGGGACTATTTCAAGTGTTAGAAAATATAGTCACAAGTAACAAAAAGTTCAATTTAGTAAAAAAAAATATATCTGAAGATATATTTGAAGTGTGAAAACCTACTTTAGATAACAAGGTTATGTAAGCACTGAAAAACTGAGGCCACTGCCAGTATGTGTTTTTGTGTGTTTATTTTTTAAGAGTTTACAAACTTTAGACAAACTTTGAGTTTAATTTCAGTCCAAAAAAATTTGCTTTTCAGGGCAAAGATGCATTATCATATTATGTCACTAAATAAGATCATATCTCATAGATAGAGGTTTAAGAACTAGACCTTCATTATGTGTGTGGTTATTTATATATAAGCATGGATGTTTGATGTTGTTTGTGTTTTCAGGTACCGTAAATTGGCCTTGAAATGGCATCCTGACAAAAATCCAGACAACAAGGAGGAAGCAGAGAAAAAGTTCAAAGAAGTCGCTGAGGCCTATGAAGTCCTGTCTGACAGTAAGTCACCATAGATGACAACTGGTCTAATATGTACAAGGTATACTGTAGATGTATATGTGTACAGATATTGATATCCGTGGGTAATTTTTTCCTTTTTGACAGAGAGCAAACGTGATGCATACGACAGATATGGAAATGACAGAATGCGACACACAGGTATATATATATATATATATATATATATATATAT